AGCGGGCGACTCGGGCAGTGGCGCGGCCTCCCCCCTCCTCTCCTCCTCTCCGCCCTCCCCCTTCGCCGCCAGCCGAAGCTGCCGAGGCAAAGCCCCTCGCGGTGGCTGGCAGAGAGGCCCCTCTCTTCGCTGCTTGGGGGTGGCCAGTGCAAGGCGGCCTGTCTGGGGGGCGGCAGCGTCGGGCGTGCGTGGGGCTCGGCGGTGCGGCGGCAGCGGCGTGCTTGCGGCGACGTGGTGAGTGACGGCAGTGGCGCAATAGCTATGTGCCCGTGGTGGCGGCGTTGGTTCAAATCTAGCCACGGGTTGCAGCGGGCGGGTTCTGGTGGGCTCCTTCGCTATGGGCTCCAGCTCAGCCTCCTTCTCCACTCGGTTGGGGCTAGAGGTGGCCTGGGGCTGGTGGAGGTTGGGGCATGCCGGCCGGATCAACGCGATTTTTCCGGCAGGTGGCGTGGGTTGTGTTGGGCGGCGGCTTAGGGCAGGTCCGGGGGTGGTGGCCTCTCGGTGGCGCGGTGGCTACACGGTGGCTTGCAGCTCTGTCCGTGGCGTCTCATCTGCGGTCGGGCCGTTTCGACCTTCGCTTCTTCTCCTCGTCATTTGGCCTGTACTCGCATCGAAGGGCTGGCCTGCCTTGGGTGTAAGCGTGTGTTGTGGTGGCGTGTGTTTGTACCGTTGTGTTAATGATCGGTATATAAAACGGGACGAAAGCCTTTTTGGCATATTCAAAAGAAGTATTTTTTTCTCATGTTCTTCGAAGCAAAGACCAACAAGTCCCCCAAGATTCTTGTGGTGAAGCTTGACAACTACTTTCTCTGTTCTTAAATATAAGTCTTTCTAGAGATTTCAATAAAAACTACATACAGAGTAAAATGAGTGAATCCACACTCTAAATATGTATATATACCCATAATATGTAGTCCGCATTGAAATCTCAAAAAAGACTTATTTTTAGAAACGGATGGAGTAGAACCAGTACACTCTTCAACTCTACTATTCCTTGTCTGGAAGTCTGACCAAAAGCCTTTTGATGGCCATTTCTTGACCTTTGGTAGGACTCCCTATCAAAGTAAAGACACCTAGTCCTCTAAAAAAAACTTGACTGACAAAGTTCAACGCAAGGCGCTGGCTTTCTTGACACACACACTTTTGCTGCCCATTTTTCACTTATTCGGTCTTTCATGTTTTTCTCCGATCCACCACCAACGTGCTCCATTGGTGGAGATTGTGTCACGCTCTTCCACAACCAGTAAGGGCCGTACCTGAAAATTCAGGGGCCCGGTGCGATATAGTATAAAATTAGGCCTTTTAAAAAGAAATACTAGTTTCCACTAAAAATATATAGAAATACTAATTATGAAATCGATATATTACTACTTATTTGGAATACTACTATAAACATAATATTCTCTATAATAATGCAAGGGCAATACATGATGAGAAGAAAAACTAATGGATGAGAGCCGAGCATATATGAATCCATTGCTACCCTCAAATTTCTTTATTTGTGCAGTAAAGTGTTTAAAGGATAATGGAGACCGGAGAACAATACTCTTGTACTAGTAGTTCCGGATATGCTGCATGGAAAAAATTATAATCCAAATGAACATTGATTAATACGATTAACTGTCATTTAAAATGGAGAACGCTAGTTGGCATTGGAAAGTGGAATGTTGCACTGCAAATCTACCATTCCTTGGTTAGTACTATTAAATGATACTTCCTCCGTTCCTAAATATAAGTCTTTGTAGAGATTCCATTATAAACTACATACGGATGTATGTAGATGCATTTTAAATGTGATTCATTCATTTTGCTACG